GCTGGTAGAGAAGGACATCCAAAGCTCAGCGACAAGCACCCATAGCCCATTGTACGGGCTGAGCTTACGTCTTTACACTTGCTCACAGAGTAAAGTGGGTATATTGGCTTTCTGCAGTGGCTGTTTTTCGTCATCCGGTCCGTCATCTCTTTGGAGTTAGAGACTCTAATTATGTGCAGAAATCTGTTCGCTATGTCCACAGAGCCGTTGTAAATAAGGAGCTGCGTGAGCAAGTATTATGTGGTCGGCTGGGCCCCACTACATTCTCACTGCTTTTTTTCTTTTAGCAAGCAGCTCAACATCTTATCCACAGCACTTTACTCTCGGCAAGCTATCTTACTATCATCGGAGTCCGTCTGCCACTCGGCCACTTGGCCGGTTGGCTGGTTGGCCGCTTGGCCGGTTTGTCGGTTGGCCGGTTCATAGCTAATACGCTTTAAGACTGCGCTAGATATCAGTTCTACAGAAGCACACACAGACACACACACATATATATATGTGAAGTACGTATACATATGTATGTATGTATGTGTGTGTGTGTGTGTGTGTGTGCCTATCTATACATGTGTGGGTGTACATAAATTATTTATTGGTATTTTTGGCTTTTGAATTGAACCAACAAATGGCATTGAGCCGGCGACCCATTTGCGCAAACACAGTGAAAAGCGAAAAGTGAAAAAGTTTTAATAGAATTTCTTTCTCGATACTTATTATTATTTTGCTTCTATTGATATTGAATCTGCGAGCTAAATGCTCACTCGGGCGTTATTTTCGTTCGGCTTTACAAGACTTTGTCCGACTTACTCGAACGGCTTATTAATCGAAGGTAAATGAACCGAAGGATAGCTATGTGTAGCTATAAACTGGTGCACGTCCCCTCTCTAGGCAGTCTCCTGCATCGCGATTACGCAATTAACTAAAGCCCTCGTCAACATTGGGCGGCGCAAGCGTCCAAATGCAAACAAGGATCCCATTCAAATCAAGTGTAGTGCATTTGATTTTTGTTTTTGTATTGTTGTGTAGCTCTCCAGCTCGAATTTATTTGTGTGCGTGCTAATTTGAATTATCGAACTGATGTGTGTGCGTGCGCGTGTGTGTGTGCACCATTGAAGTGGTAAGCCGAAATATGGCGTTATAATAATTTTCATAGCAACATTTACACATGCATAATTAATTAGTATCAAAAATTTAATACTCACACTTTGTATCTGCTTAAATATTTACACTTCGTGCCAAATTTGTATGCAAATCGCTTTGCTACAGACTGACAATACCACACACACACACACACACACACAAACACACACACGCACACGCACACAAGCACAAACACATACATATAAACGCACAATGTCTTGCAATTAAAAAATAATACAGTCTGCTTCATTCGAATAGGGCTATATATAGTATAACAGTTGAGTATTCATCGAATAAAATAATAGCACCAAAGAGAGACAGACCCATAGAAAAAGAGAGAGACAGACAGAGAGAGTGAGACAGAAAGTCGGAAAGAGAGAGGTACGTAGAAGCCAACCCAGATCGAGGAATTCGCAATCGTTTCTGTTGAGTTGGGCAGCAGTGTGCGCCGCCAGGGCCGAGCAAACAGAATCGAAAAGGGGTGGTTGCTGCCACTGGCGGTGGGCAGCATTGGTGCCGCTGTTGCGCCCCTGGCTATTTCGTTGGGTCGACTGCCGTCTGCTTTCCAGCCCCTGGTGAGTTACGAGAGCAAGTGGTCGTACTAGTTGGCTGGACGGTCACTAGCTCCTGCTGGCTTTCTGGATGGGTTGCTCCTGCTATTGCTGTTGCTGTTGGCGTTGATTGTTGGTGTTTTTTTTTTGTTTTTTTGAAAACCCTTTTTAGTGTTTGCATTTAACGAAGAGCGCCGCAGCCACGCATAGTGGAGCTGTTGACCACAAAGCGTAGCTTTGATAAAATGGTAGGTAATATCCATCCGACTGAAAATTGATTAAAAACTAAGTAAACGAACACTTCTTCAATAAGCAAATGAATCGCAACGACAGCGCCTTTTAGAGTTCACAGACTTAGTAATTAGAAAAACGTGCCTCTCATAAATATTTCCGCCAACAAATGAGCAAAGGCTCCACTGTGCGAGCCAGTTGCAACAATAAGGGCAATAACAAGCACGCTCGCCGAAATTCCGCGCCAAGGCCGATAATGGGATGGCTTTGGGGTCAGAGGCTGGTATTAGTGATGTGTCAGGCAGTCAGGCAGGAGAAGCTATGGGCAGAGGCAGGGAGGAGAGCTGGAAAGGCTGGCTAATAAAAGGCTTGTTACAATGAAAACAAATCAAATCGGCGCCGTAGCCATCCATCAAGTCAAACCAAACTGAAGTTCAAATGAAAACGCGGCTAACGAATACCAGCTACAAACAGGAAGTAGTTTGAATTTCCGGTGTCACTCCGCTACCCCTCCTTCTCACCACTACGCCCTTCCCGTTAAAGCGCGTTTGCTAAGCGGCGGGCGGTTCCATTCGCACATCGCACTGGCAGCAGAGACAACAACAACAGCAGCAACCACGTTCAAATTTTCAAATTGATTACGGGACAGGTGGGTGGAATGAGTGCACGATGAGCGGCGCTAGAGACCCGACGCAGAGTCAACTCAGTTTTACTTTGAAATGCCATTAAAATGTATTTACAAACGCAAATTGATAGCGATTTTGGTCTAGGCCTGACCCGCGATGTGTTGAAGTTGAAGCTTAGCTGGCGATTTGGCCAGGATGTCTGTGTATTTCGATGTCTGGTATGTACATACATATGCCTGTGTGCCGAGCGCGTGTGATTGTGTGGTCTGAGGACAACATTGATAAGCGAGAGGCCGAAAGATTGACATCCTTTAAGCATATCACAATATGTACAGAGAGACACAGACAAAGATACAGATACAGATACAGATACAGATACAGATACAGATACAGATACAGATACAGATACAGATACAGATACAGATACAGATACAGATACAGATACAGATACAGATACAGATACAGATACGGATACAGATACAGATACAGATACAGATACAGATACAGATACAGATACAGATACAGAAACAGATACAGATACAGATACAGATACAGATACAGATACAGATACAGATACAGATACGGATACAGATACAGATACAGATACAGATACAGATACAGATACGGATACAGATACAGATACAGATACAGATACAGATACAGATACAGATACAGAAACAGATACAGATACAGATACAGATACAGATACAGATACAGATACAGATACGGATACAGATACAGATACAGATACAGATACAGATACAGATACAGATACAGATACAGAAACAGATACAGATACAGATACAGATACAGATACAGATACAGATACAGATACAGATACAGATACAGATACAGATACAGATACAGATACAGATACAGATACAGATAAAGATTATAAATTAAATCTATGTCCTTATAAATTAAATCTATGTCCTTAAAACTTTATTTAGTTAGTGATTAGTCCTTTACAGTTGCTAGTTAGGCTTTTACAACGCTTCGGGAGTTAGTTTGAGCTCAGCAGTTGTTGACGTTGGTTCTGGTGGTAAATTGCGCCATTATAAACATGCCACATTGGTAGTTGCCATTTATTGCGCTCTGTGTGTGCTATGCAACCGTTGAAAGGTGGCAAGGAATAACGACGCGTCGTGTCTGTGGTAGGGCGTGTGCAAATTAATTCCGAGATGCATCGCACTTAAGTACTTTGGGCAGGAAATGTTGCGTTTGGCAACCTATGATTTTCCGCTCTCAGACTCGCACTCACTAACGCAATTAATTGTTATTCATTATCGTAATTGGCCAATTAACTGCGAGTCAAATAGATTTTAACTCACTGGCATTCGTATTTATATTTCAGTGACAGGCGGGCAATCTTCGGAGACAATAAAGTTCAACTGCAATTATTTTCAAATGAACTTCATTTAGAATGCAATTTGAGGCATGTGTCTAATATATGCAAACAATTTACTGTGCTACCACGGCACGAAACGGGAATCAGGTGGAGGCTGGCAGGCAGGCACGAACCGAAACGGAACCAAGCCCAACCAAGCCAAAACAACATCCTTGTTAGCCTAGAGCACCAGAGCAGACACTGACAACAGCGATAAATCAATATGCAAAAGGAACGTTGACGACCCAACACTTGGCAAACAAGGAGCGTGGCAAAATGATAAACTGTGTTGACTATACTGTGTGTGTGTCTGTGTGTGTGTGCGCGCCAATGACGGTTGCGACAAAACAACTTGTGGGAATGTTTTCTCAGGACACACTAACTCTCGCATACACACGCACACACACACGTCGTGCTTGTAGGTGTGCGCGTGTGAATTGATGTACGTCCCTTTAAAAGTGAGCAATAAACATACGCGATTAAATTCATTATGAACTCTTGAACGGCAGACAATGCGAATATGAAATGACAAACTGATTGTTGTCTGTGTGGGTAAGGGAGTGTAAGTGAATGTGTGTTTGTGTGATTGCTTGTGTGTGGCTGCTTCATAGTCTGTGAATGTGCATGTGATAGACTGTGTGCGTGACTTGTGTAACGGCAGAATGAAGCAAATGGTTTCACTTCTTGTTATTGTTGCCCTCTCTAATTGTATTTGTGATTGCAGATGTGTGTGGCTATGTAGCTGTGTAGATGTGTGGGTGTGTGAGTGTGTGTGTGTGTGTGTGTGTGTGCATGTGTGAGCATATGTGGTTACTAATTGGATTTTGGATATTCAATCAACATGTTTCCGCACTGATTTTTACTGATTTGTCGAAGGAGAGAATGAGATTCTGCTTTCAGATCTGTGAAATTACAAACCCGATCCATATGCCACGCCAATTTATTTGGATTGACGACGAATATTTCATTTAACATACATTCAGCTAGTAAACGAATGACAATTAACTGTCGTCACGTTGTTTCTTCTTTCCTTCTTTACGTAGTATACAACAAAACAGAGCAGAGCCATTGGAATTGAGCGAGCTACTTTAATTTTGACATGCAATATATGTTTCTTCCGCAGATCAACTGATAAAACTTATTAACAATCTACGAGATGTATTTTAATGACACTGCGACTTTCTCTTCTCTCGATAGGCGATAATTACTGTCAGACACAGCAAACACAGCCATTACATAAACCATAAACTGTTGCCTAAAATGAGCTCGTGTGCGTTATTGGTGTGTGGCTGTGTGGGTGTATGGGTGTGTGGGTGTCTGTAGGTGTGGGTGTGTAGGTGTGGGAACGTGAGTGCATGCGGGTAAGCCTGTTGGTCACCGCATTTTGTCGCTGGTTTTGCAATTTTCGGAAGACTTCAGCGCCATGATTTCACTCAATTTTGGCTTGTCATATGCAGAATGTCAGCCGCAAGCCACAGCCACGCACCTGTTGCTCCAGAAGTGCGAATTATTGCATCCGCTTCGTCTCTCATAAAATAAAAGGAAGTCCCTATGTCGCTTGAGCCCTGCTTGGGCATAAGTACTAAAAATATAAAATTCGCCTTGCTATTGCTATTGCCAGCGCGACAGCCGGCAAGCCATTCAGTTTCAGTTGGGTGGCTCTATTGCTGTTTATCCAGTTGCGATAGTAGTAGACATCGGMGTACACTCCAAACGAGCCCCTCTCACCACAGCCAATACCAAAGGAGACAATGCCAGTTATGACCCCATCGCAAATTAACGGACCACCCGAATCCCCTTGACAGCTGTCCACTTCGTAGTCGCTTGTGTCTGCGGCGCAAAACATTCCCTTTGTAAATAATGGATCTCTTTTGCAAATGGCATATGGCTGAATATAGACATCGGCGTTGAGCACTTCGTCAGGTGTTGGACCAAACTAGAAGCGTAGATTGAAATGGGAACAAAATTACTATTGGGGTAGGTATTTATGTCTAGAGCTTATTGAAAATAAGTGAATAGAATGTTTTGGAAAACTTAATAGATGTTAATCGTTGATCTCGAAAATCAAGAAAGATAGAGAAGCAAAGAACGAATTTTTATTTTATATTTTCAAACATTCGGATGTTTCAATCAGTTGCATGAATTCGATTCAAACCGATATCAACTTGAGGTAACATAGTGCATTTGAAGAGCTAATCAGCAATTTGAGCTCCTCCTAAAGAACATTTCCGCTTAACGATCTAGATCAGAAGACCTACCTGAATAACAGTACCCCATCCAATCACTGTGCACTTTGCTCCAATTGTTGGTTCCTTGTTCGCTAAGGGAATCACATCGGCAGTAATCCCATCGATTTTCAGCTTGGTTTTGAGTAATACAATAGCAATATCATTTGTTAGCCTCTTAAAACTGAATTTCGGATGTGGCTTGAGTTTGTCCACGAGAAGTTCTTGTGTGTGGGCCGACTTGAATAGCCGTCGTGACGATCCGGCGAATATTCTCACTTGGCTGGGGCGTACCACTTTATGCTTTCTAAGTAAAATTTTTCATATACTGTAAGCTAGTATATATGTAAGTGTGCTCTAGTCGAGGCTGCTCGACTAGGAGAGCGCACACACATACGCACGCGCTCTGCTAACTGCTCAGTTGACACAGGAACAGACGAACGGACGGACAGATGGATAAGAATATATTTACTTAATGGAGTCTGCCACGCCTCCTTCTGTCTGCTACATATATTTTAGCATAAGCAGCGCAGGGTATGAACATAATCGTCCTTATATAGCTATGTTCATTGGCTATATGGGAGATAAGCTTAAGAGTTTTAAAACAAGAATCTCATGATTACTACCATTCAGGCGGTACCTCCTCTACAGATCTACATTATTATGTATAGCTGGAAAAAATGGACTTTTCATTGATTTTATGGTGTGAACGAGTGTTACTGAGCCGATGGCGACCATATGCATCGTCCGTTCTTATTGTTTTGCCGATACCGGCATTGCATTTTTAGGATCGAGCATACTTACTTAGTCATAAAACAGTGAGCCGCAGAAAGGACTGTTCGCTTCGAGATAATGCTGCCCCCGCAGAAATGGTTATCACCAAAGAATTTGCGCGGTCGCGAGGATCGCACTGAAACAACAAACTTAACTATTTCATTAACAACGGGTCGATAGCCGCCCGTTATCAGAAAGTGAAATTCATTCTCATCTACTTCATCGGTGCTCGAATTGGTCTGAGCATTCGTAGATCGATAGTCTGTTTTCTGTGCGGGCTTTACTTGAGCATCAGTTACCGGAGTCTTCGCATTAACGATGTCAAAGATCTCAGCTGCGTCTTGCTGATGAAGGGTGTGGCATTTATCGTGGTTGGCCTGGATGCCCCAGTTCGCACTACAATTCTCCAAGTGCTCACTGCCAGTGGCTGACTGACAGACCAATAACTGTAAATGCAACTCTAATAGTAGCAGCTTATACACGACGAATTTTGAAACACCCATTTTTTCCTTCGACTTTGAAGTACACTGATTGAAATCTCCCAGATCAGACTAGCTTCAAAGTGATGTAGTAGTAATGTTCGTGCTAAAGGCAGAAGGCAGACGTCGAATCTAAAATAGTTCTCTCTTGCTGCCCGTCCATACGAGAGACGGCTACAAAATAGAAGACGTATCTCACAGATCAGGTTTATCTGAAATCACATTTCCATGAAATCGACTTCGGCACTTTACTTCAGCACGCCTTTCACATCCTAAGAGCTGGAGTATTGTGGACATACAAATCTAAGCCAACATCTAGTGGCACTCGAATCGAAGTGCATACATTCTTTAAAATATTAATGACAGTTGAGCCGACCTTACTCGTCTAGAATACTTTTGAAACATTGTCAATCTAAGAATATACTTATATTTAGTATACTTAGGATCATAGCCAAAGCTCTGTCCATGTGTGGCTGTCGCCCTCTAGCCTTATCCCCCAACGCAATAGAATGCAATGCGGTCTGTCATAGTCCAAGAGGCAGTGTAAATATTTACCTTATAAGTTTCGCAGCGATCCGATAGGCAAATGAAAAACTCCTGGTCATAAATAACGTGCACCTGAACCAGTAGTGGGAGCGGCAATAGCGAGCCGCAACGACACAGCGACTGTCGACAGCCGGCAGCACAAACTTCCACCTAGCAGCCGAAGTGTTAGTTTCCCCTTACACACATACAAAGTTACACACATACATGCATAGATGCATGCATGCATGTGTGTGGACTCAAATGCACACGCGGGTACTGTTGTATATGCACGCACAAAGAGGTCCATTCGAGGTGCAGAAAATCACAGCAACCAATGTTGTCCCTCAGGTCTGAGCATAACGGCAAGTTAATAATTCAAAATATCGAAAAAAAAGAGTGGAAAATTGTGAAATACTAGCTCGTGTTTTACGCGTTACATCGGTTCTCTAAGCACCTGAAGCGTCGCGTAAAATCACGTCCTGTTTGAAAGCCCACACTTCGTGATTGTGTCAGTGGGCTTACGAAACCGTTTCTAGAATCACGTACGGTTGTGTACACAGACGAGTCCATTGTTGTCTGACGGTTCCACTCACTAATTTTTTCGTGGGCCCGCTCTGCCATAAACTTCCACCGACCCAGCAGCAGCATCCTTGGATGCGTGTGTGTATGTGAATGTGTGTGAGTGTGTGTGTGCTGGCTGGTTGGTCGTTGGATGCCTTCTGTGTTGCGCGTTGTGAGTCGCTGTCGTTATCATTAATTTGCAGCCTGCTTTTCGTAATAATTTACAAAGGATTTTCTTCACTTTTCCTTGCTAGTTTTTGGCAATTCTTGGCCAAGTTTTTAGGTTAAGTTGTCATTATATCCGCTTACAAAGACAAATTTGTATATGGGCACACCATAAAAATTGCCGCACATTTCTCACTAGGCATAGTTAGTGAATGTGCTCAAATATGTTCTCTTTAAGATGACAATTTTTTTTTTTTTTTTCAAGACCTTTGAAAGAACCTGTCCGAATGATTTCTAGGATTTTTATTCTAAAATAACTAAAGGGTGTTCAGCAAATGCCTTGAAGAGTGCCCGGGGAATAAATTGAGGGTCAAACAGATGATAATCGAAATTCGATCAAGAATGCCTAGCTGCCTCGTGACTGTGATTTGCATTTGCATATAAACAACTTGAATCTGTTGGGTCTGTTAAGCTAGCAGATATGCACAGCACATACATACATACCTCTCTATGTATGTGGTGGAAACAATTAACAATATATACACAGTTGATTCGAAAGAAAATGGCAGAGCAAAGCAAAGCTCCTGTGGTCAGCCACAGCCAAACAGGCGGCCGACAAGCAGACACACCTGTAAAGTTTCCCGCCAAGAACATCGTCAGTTGGCAAAGGTAAACAATTATGGCAGCTCACCGGGCCGACTCAGTGACTGCTTGCAGCTGGCTGCCTCTAGATAGCAGACAGTCGACAGTCGACAGCCGACAGCAGACAGCAGACAGCAGACATATTACTTATCGACAATAGACGATGCCAAAACATTGATTATTGTTGCCTTCTGCAGTTTTAACTAAAATGCATTTGCTGCGCCAGCCAGCCAGTGCATTCAGGGGACTTCAGCTGCCAAGAGCCATTGGATAACTGCCTATGCATTTGCCAACGACAGCGGGACTAAGTTTTGGCCATCGTTGAAGCTGGTGTCATTGTTTGCACACATTGATTGAATTTGTTCACGCCATTAAATTTGCAAATTGCTATCAGCAACTTTGCATAAACTGCAGGGCAACATTTTACAACACAGCTCTGGACTGTGGGCTGGACGTGGTTGGTCGGTCGTCGTGCATTGTTAATGCTTATGACTGAGGCTGCCTTTGGATGAACCTTCCGCCGCGCACCCGTCTGCCGCCTGGGCATATGGGGTCTTTAGGCAAGTAGCAATCAGTACCGTATTGGTCCGGCATTGTCCGCTTACCATCTACGCCTGGAGAGCTCCCAGGTCCAGTAGATAAACAAAAGCAAATGCAGTCGTGAACTTAAGCTACAGGCGGTTGTCGTTGCCATAATACGAGTGTGTGGGCATGACAGCCAACAGTTAAGGGCATGGCAGCCATGTGTGCAAGTCATTAACTATTCATACGACATTAGCCTCAGCGGAGCAACAGGGGAGAGCTATCTGCTGGTGGTGCACAGAATGCAGCAGCATGTGATGACACTTTTGATTTCGACTGTTTCGACAGGTGGCAAGGCCGGCAGAGCGGCAGAGCGGCAGAGGGGCCAGAGGGGCCAGAGGATCTAGAGGGGGCAGAGTGCTAAGCTAATTGCCCACAGCCTACCCATAACTCTGATGATTTGACAGACACAAGTAGGAAATTTATTTAACGACCAGTTGAAGCTATCAGAGCACAATAAGTTGAGCATAATACCCGGCCGACCTTTGTGTGATTCGCATTTAGCTGGCATAAACACTGCTTAAGCTTTTACAGCTAGTTGAGCACAAGCCTGGCAGAGGAACAGATGGGCAGAGGAGCAGAGAGGCAGAGGTAAATGGGAAAAATTGAGCAAAATTCAAAGCCAAAGGCGTTACACAAAAATCTCAGAAAAGTTGAAATTATTTTTCCTGCGGGACTTTCTGCCTTTTGGGCTAGCTTGAGGACTTGGGATATGGTATTGTATATGGGATATTGGGGTCTGGCTGGCTGGCTGGCTATAGCGCAGATGGGTGCAAGATTTTGCCGCCCAACAACAAAATCGCGAAAAATTTAAATTACCACTTACAACAGCGCTCTGCAAGTTCATTGTCTTCTGTTATTGAACTGCCTCCTCCTGCTCAGGGGCTGGAGTGCTGCGGAGAGTATGCGGCCACGCAATATATTCATATTATATCCACTCGACAATGTTTTCGCATTATTGCGAGCGTGTGAAATTTATGATAAAAGTTATGCCGACATTCAAATGGATGCGAGTATATTTGTGGTGAAATTTCAATTTCAACTTCGAATGCAATTCGAGTTGGGCATTTAACACATTACTTTAACCTTAACATTTCTCACTGAAGCCTCGTAAGTTTTGAGCTCGCTCTCATAGAAATTCCGATAAATATTCGAGGATAAAGGCAATGCGGGTTTAAAGCTTGTTTACTGAACTGGCATTGCAATAGTTATGTATAAATATACATATAGTAAGTATTTGTGTTGGAATCGCTCGACATAAATTACTTTTTCTATTGACAGCCAATTCAATGGGCGAAATAAGGACTAATTATATATATTCCATTGTTCTCTGCTATCCCGAGCTCGCTCGCTGCACTGCCTGTACATGTGCATATATAGATATATAGACATGTATATTTGTATACAGATATTTGTGTGTGTGCGAGTAGCCCACTTAAAGCTTCGTCTCCCATGAAGCGCTCTAATTACATTTTTGTCCGCAGCGTCCTCGGCTGCAGCCTGTGTGCAGTAGAAGCGAGTATAACATCTGCACTTTCATAGATCCATTTGCTCTGACAATTTTGCACGGCTGATTGAGTTTGGGATTGCTGTCGGCTACACTCGACTTTATCGTGCGGCCAGCCCTGTGTCCTTGCCGAAGCGTATAAATTACTTTAGTTGCATTGCGGCTTGCGGTTTATCTCATTAAGTGCTGTCATATCATTTTGTCGCTGGCTCGCCAAGCCCAGATGCAAGTATACAAGGAACCATTTCAGGCTTACTGACTAATCTTCCGCTATCGGGAAGGTAGTCTGAAGCAAGGGCAAGGGAATGCCCACGTCTAAATTTATCAAGAGCAACTAGTGCTCCTTAGATATTGTATAATGAACAGACGTAGACCGTTCCATCGACTTTATAGGGGTAAGAGTGAAGAGTTCTCTTAAGTCTCTTGCTCACTGATATCATGAAGCAATGCGATACTACATACTCATATACTTCGAGTAAATATCACTCAGTCGAAACGCTTGACAGAGACAATTCAACTTGTCTCTGCATTGTTAGCTCCAAAGTGGCTTATTATAATTTCTCGAACACCCCGAATAAAGTGTGCAGGTTTTACATCTTCTTGTTTGCCGAAACGGGGAGCATAATATTGTACTTGAATATAAACATTAGCGTGACTGCGTGGTGCCATGGACACACCCACATTTAAATCTGGGCAGCCATATGTGTGTGTGCGGTTATATTCTAAGCCGATACGAAACCATGCAAATATCGTTTTATCGGAGAGTCCCGACTAGAAGACACTCAGTGTTTCAAACACTTGGGTCCACGTTAATAATATGTAATCGGTTGAAGGGAAGCTATCCAAACGGCATAGTATCTGCATCTGGATATGTTTTTAAATAATTTGCAGGGTAGCTGGGGAATTGGATTGCATACACTCATGGAAACGCATTATACCCTACTGGTTACCCAATTTTAGTGGGCTGAGGGTACAAAAAGGGTTCAATTTGACGGCGTGTTGTCTATCTTCTCGCCACAGCAACAGACCAGCCAACCCAACCTGCTAGCCAACACAACCACCCAGCCAGCCTGAC